TCTATTCACAATACCTGAAAGGTGGAAATGCCTCACACGGACGTCCATCAACAAACGAATGATTAAACGAAAGGTGGTCCATCCACACAGCAGAATATTATTATTCAGCCATAAAAAGGATACATGCTAACGAAGTGGATGAACCTTGAAAACATGTCAAGCGAAAGAAGCCAGACATGTTGCATGTTTCTGTTTATATAAAAATCAGGAATAGACAAATCCACAGAGACAGAAAGCAGGTTAGTGGTCGCTTGGGGCTAGGGCGGGGGTGCGGTAGACGATGGGAAGTCAATGCTTAATGGGGTACGGGCCTCCCACTTGTGATGATAAAAAAGTTCTGGAGCTAGAAAGCGGTGATGAATGTACAACACTTACGAATGTACTTAGTGCCACTGAACTGTGCACTTTAAAATGGTTCTATAATAAATTCTGTTATGTGTATTTTACCACAATAAAAAAAAATCGTGTTGTTATATTCAGATTACATTATTTAAAGGGATGAAATATATATACTATTAAAATAAACCTAAACAAATTTCTCATTTAGTGTAATTCTGAGAATTATGGGATTTTTAGACCTGGGAAAGACAGTAAGCATTGATTGCTTATGCCTATATGGTAAAGTTAGTTTGTTGAAAATATTCGGCAACTTTCTAATGATCACAAAAAATTAGAATTATTTGTTCTGTTTCATGAATTTTTCTACCAAGAGGTTTCCGATGCTCTCTGACTCAATGGCTGGGATACTGACCCTGAACTCAAAAAACAACCTGTGCAACCAATCGTGTCTGACTTACTGTGACGCAGCAAAGCATAAACCATTCTAATTTACATCCATTTTTAACACCACTGGTATTTGGGTCATAACAAATGGAGTAAATTCATTGGCCTACATGTTCGAATAATACATAATCTGATTTTCTTCACACTATAAACATTAGTGTACAGGACACTTAAACTAAGAATGAAATATTAAATCGATGTTTGTCCCATGAGCTATGTATAGATATCTTATCAATTTACCTTCCTAATATAGTTTTAATGAAGTAGACACTCATTGCCATACAGCTTTTTATAATGATTCTACTTAATAAAATATGTTTGCAGGGCAAAATTTTTTTCAAAAACTGGAAAAGAATTTTTTAAAGCAATTTTTCAGATTACAACGTTAAACTCATCTCGAGCTCTGTAAAGGTGTAGGACACGAGTTCTTTAAAGTTTCATTGCGTTTCAGGATTATTCTTGAAGAGATATTCTGCCTATAATTGAAAGAAAGAAAATAAGTCAAGTCAACAATTTAGAAGATACTACCAGGTATTTATGAGTCATCTATTTGTACTAATTAATGTTTACAATTTTAAAATAAAAGTACATAAATCCTCTCAAAAGAGTAATAAAAATCTTATTATAAACTGTAAAGGTATTAGAAGCTATTTCCCAAATACACGATTTCTCTGACTCGACTGCTTCCCATTTAAATTCAGGCATATTTTATTTCCAAACTGATATTTTAAAAGAAACTTAAATCTCTTACCAGAAAATCAACAGGATCCTCTGGTCTGACCTTACAGCACTCATTCAGACCCTGCATAAGTGTTGGCATAACATAGGTCATTAAATAGTTTCTCAGGGGAATAGACTGGGCCTCCAGTAATTCTGTTTCTTCTCTCTTCACTTCCTCTAGTCGTTTATTCTACAAATAAAACATTTGGAGGTGGGATAAACAAGCGGTCAGAAAAGGGAGAACACTTGCACACGACTCACCCACAATATGTAAGGACTAGATCGTGCTGTGAATAAAGATGGCAGTCCCGGCCAGCCGAAAATAGATACGAATAGTGTTATTACAATAGGCTAGTCATTTAAAAAATAATGAACTGGATTCCTACCTCATCTCTTAGACAAAAATAATTTCTAGCTGCCTAGATGAAGAAAAGCAGGCAGGCGTCATCTCTTAGACAAAAATAATTTCTAGCTGCCTAGGTGAAGAAAAGCAGGCAGGCAGGCAGGCAGGCAGGAAGGAAGGAAGGCAGGAAGGAAGAGAAGGAAGGAGGGAGGGAGGGGGAGGGGAGGCGAGAGAGAGAGAAAAAGAGTGAGAAAGAAAGAAAAAAGGAAGGAAGGAAGGAAGGAAGGAAGGAAGGAAGGAAGGAAGGAAGGAAGGAAGGAAAGAAGGAAGGAAAGAAGGAAGGAAGGAAAAGAATCAGTGCTAATAGGATGTCTGGAAGGTATTGGTCTGGTGGACATGTATTATTCCTGGCTCAGCATACAGCCGCCCTCTTTTGGGAAAAATAATTTCAGATTTCCTTTGAGAAATCTCCCTCTCAGGCTTGTGGTTAAGGTGGGACTTCAGCCCATCAGCCCAGCCTGCCTCCTGTTCATGAACATTAGTTAAGGACGGGCACGTAAGGTAGAGCCTAGGGAGGACGTCGACATAGGAGAAAGAGCAGAGAGAGGGTCCCCAGTCCTTGGTGACACCGTCCGAGTCACTCTATCAAGCCTTGCTTGAAGCCGGCCCTACCCCAGGACTTTTCTGTTATATGAATCCATACATTTTCTTTATTTTAAGCCATTTTGAGTTTGCTTTTCTGTCGCGTGCAAGATAAAGAGTCCTAACCGATATTCGTTTAAAAAGAGGTCTCCCCTAGCAAGACAGCAAACCCAGAAATCAAACCGGGACAAAGATTGATGGATTGGACCACATAGGACATAAATCTTTTTCAGGGCCAGAAGAAACACAACACCGTAGATGATGCTAAAAGATAAACGATGAGTCGAGGAAAACGATTTGCCACATGGACACGGGAGGATGTCGTGGGAGCGCGCACGCTGTTTGCCAGGCATTGTCTGCATATATTCACACGCATTAACTCTTGAATCACCACAGCGACTCTAAGAAGCAGGTACTATCATCTTCTCATTGTATGGATGAGGAAACTGGGGCACCGAGGAACCACTGCAGGGCCACATACCTACGAAATGAGTGAACCTGGGAGACTGTGGCCTCCGGGGCCAACCCCGTTTCTCTTGTACTACCTTATCGGGAGTTGTTCTTGCAAAATCATAAGAAAAAGACACACAGCCCAGACATGTGACTTAAGAAGAACTATAAATACCTAGCTAATACAGGAAGAGTTGTTAAATTCGTGATCGATCGGAGGACTGAACACGGAAACGACGAGACTGGCTTTTGTTTATCAGCTTGTCACATGTGAGCAAAATTGAGCAAGCAGGGCTGGAGGAGGTGCAGGGAAAACATACTGACAGACGCCGTGTGAACTGGTTTTCCCCTTGCTGGAGAAATATGCATGAAAATTTACACCATGGCTGCTTCTTCCCGTAAGCCGCCGGAGGTGACTCAGAAAATGACTCACTATTTATTTGACCCAGAAAACCCCACAAAGTCATGCAAATCAAGAGGTTCAAATCTTCGAGTTCACTTTTAGAACACTCAGTGAAACTGCCCAGGCCGTCAAGAATGTGCATATTCGAAAAGCCACCAAGAATCTGAAGGACATCACTTTACAGAAACAACGGTGCTATTCTGTCTATACGGCGGTGGAGTTGGCTGGTGTGCGCAGGCCAAACAGTGGGGCTGGTCCCAAAAGAGTGCCGAATGTGTGCTGCACGTGCCTGAAAATGCAGACTAACGCCGAACCTAAGGGTTTAGACGGAGACTCTGGTCACCGAGCACGGCCACGTGAACCGAGCTCTCCAGAGGCGACGCAGAACTTACAGAGCCCACGGGTGGATGACCCCCACGTGAGCCCCCCCTGCCCCAGGGAGATGATCCCCGGTGAAAAAGAGTGGACCGTTCCCAACCCAGAAGAAGAGGAAGCTCAGAAGAAAAAGACATTCCAGAAGAAACTGAAGAAACAAAGCCTTATGGCCAGGAGAAAATTCAGCATCAATAAATGCTAATAAAAGTTAAAAAAAAAACAAAGATTTAAACCACGTACACAGAGTTGGTCCTAGGAAACTTTAGGTATTTATGCTAAGGAGATAATGAGGCACACAAAGATGTGGGCATAGGGACATATTCCCTCCCCTTCCATCACTCCC